TCTTGATAAATTCCTCCTTATTCTCATGATATAAATTTTAACAAATAAATTTTTATTCATGGAAATCACAATCATTTCAAAATGTGCTCTGTTACTAGTTTTGTCACAGGCTATTGACTCATAGTTATGATTTCCAGAGATGCTGAGCACATGCAGTTTTCCAGAAGAGTCCAGGTAAGCAATAGGACTCCATATTTCTCAAATAAAAATTGCTTACTAATAAGCTGTTGCTGAGGAAATCCTCCCCAAGCATTTGGGCAAAGAAAATATGTAATGCATTTTCCGTACAGTTCCTCTTCTAGACACTTACTCGATGGTATAGGGTACAAAAAGACAAAAGAGAGAAAATTCCTAGACTAATCAAATTTCCATAAAAATATGTGTAATAAACTCTAAAGAGAAAATTATATGAAAATTTTCAATATGTGCAAAACATGATATATTATTGCAGTTACTTTTTATGCACTATGTACTTTTTAGTGTGACTGCAAGTTTGGGAGAGAAGAGAGACATGAGCCAGTGTGATGGCTCACATTTCAAACAGAGCAGCCAAGGCTGAATACAGAGAGGTCTCTAACAGATTACTTTTAAGTGATAAGAAGGTATCATTAGGAAGGAAGGTTTGTTTAGACTGACTTGCTAGCTGATTATCAAGTAACTTTAATAAGGAAAGAATTGTGCTTTCATAAAAATGAGACAATAGCTTTGACACAGCAAAAGTAAATGGTTTCCTTATCTCACTGTAACCCAGGCTGAAAAACAAAGTAATGAATATCTAAAGAACTACAACACTTATCCAGACAGGTATCTTACAATGGAGCAATTAAATAAGACTTACCCCATCTCTCCCCCTGTGATTGTTCTAATTCTCTAGGAGAGTGCCTTTCTAGTACATGACTTTGCCAGGAAGGCTACTGAAAATGTGTTACATTTTCAAAACTTGTCTTTCTTTTCAGCAGTAAAATTTAGGAATTTGCTTTGAATATATAGAAAAATAGTCTTGTTTAGTATTATTTAAAGATCACATGGTCATATGATTTTAAAATCATGTTGTATTATCGGTTATTTACTGTGTTCTCCATATCTTACCAAGATTCTGCAGTACTCCTCCATTTTTAACCACCAGTAAAATTTCCACAACAGTAAAATTACAAGACTCAAACAGTATCCTGTTGCAAATATATAGATGCAGTGGAGTTTTGTCTTCCAAGACAAAGTCCTTAAGACTGTGACTATGGAAATTTCTAAATTTAATTTTTTCTCTTCTTTGCACATACTTCTATTTTTTTTTTAATATGCAGCTAACTGTAAGAAAAGGTCTGTATGTCATAGGTATTTTTGAGTCTAACCATCAACAAAAGTTCACTAGAGAAAATGAATAAAAATTACTTATTTTTCGTATCTTATTTATCTGAAATTCTTATAACCTTCTTACATTGTCACAATTCCTAAATTTTTTCCTTAGGCTTGAGCCTAGGAAACAAACAAACAAACAAAACAAAACAGACAAACAAACAAACAAAAACTAAACCAAACAAAACCCAACAAAATAATTGCTATTTTGTTGTGAATAGAGATTCTCCCTAATCTTTCATATTTTTTACTTATTCAAAAAAAAAAAAAAACAAATAGTAAGGGACTGAAATCTGCACATTTGAAACAGCTTTGAGTCACTAACCCTCCAGAGAATCTGACAGGTCACGTGAGAACTGAGGCTAAATGCACATGGAGTAATTAATTAATTGTTTAATTAATTCTTAATGACATGACCTGTTTATAATATGCCAGGACAAAAAATATCTGTCAGTTACAAAATTACACCTGTAAGAAAAGAGAATATAATTATAGGTAGGCCACATGCTCAGTCATTAGCTGTGCTCATTTCAAAAGCCAGTTTTTCTGAATTGAGATCCAATTCTATTTGGCACAAAACCCCAAATCATAATTCAGCAACATGACTTAACTCACAGGAAAAACAAAGTGATTTGAACTATACTCCCTTTAATAATAATTGTTAATATTACTGTTATTACTTATTTTCACTAATAAAATTCAACTGAAGCCAATGGGATTCTACATAGAACAACATTGGACTCCAAGACATATGGCAATAAAGTGGGTATCTTCTACAGATAGAATCTAAGAACTTGCCTTTGCAAAAATTATTTGCAATTTGAGGCATCTTTCAACAACTCTTAAAGCATGATTTTCAAGCAAAAGGAGAGAGATTTTCAGCACTTTATGAAAATGAGAAGTTTCTCAGTAACCTCAGAATGATCACAGTCAATACTTGGAAAGTTGCAATGAAAAGGCTACGTGATTCCATTTTGACATAAAGTAAATTAATCCAAGTCTTCTTTTTTTTTTGCCACAAAGACATAGCATTGCACTATAGCTTTATTATGAGAATGGATCTGCAGGTTTTTGACATATTGGAAGATTCTGTTTTCATGTCTTTTTTATTAATATTTTCTTCAGATAAATATTTCTTTTATGGAAAATATTTTATATGAAAAGCTCCCACACAACAAATTATATTTTAGAGAAAATATTAACATATTATACAAAGATGTAAAGATTCTTTGTTTCTTAGTTAGCTCTGATAGCAAACGAACACACAGTATCTCAATTTCATTTAATTTCTTGTTTAAGATAAATTATTTTCCTGGCAGTATGTTGTGTTCTGGATAGTAGCCCAGCTATGGGTGAGTAACGATGAATTGCTGGGATTACTTTTTAAATTAAAATAAAATTCTAGTTTGTTTAGAAAGGCTTGTAAAATTAGGTTAATGCCAAAGAAAGTGGTTTGCTTTGCTAAAAACATTGATAAAGGAAGATTACAGAGAAATTCTACTTTTTGCTGGTCTCGAGAGACTTCTAATCCCTGACACACTCATTAGTTTTATAGGGTGCAGTTTTGAGGTTGTTCAGGACAAGTCCATGAAGCTGGGAGCACTGCACAGCACCTTAATGCATGATAAGGATGAAATGCATTTGTGTATCTGTAATAATATATATATTTATTATATTTTCTAGGAACATCTTTGGCGTGTATTTGAGGTGAAATTTATCCTTTATAATTCTCACTTTGTTTCAAACCTACTTTAATTTTGGTTTCTTAAGTGGTGTCTGTTTCTTTGTCCTATAATCCTCTGATCACTATTGTTTACAAAGCAAATGCTAATTTCTGGGACTGTGAAATGCTAAACTAATAAAAACACTATTGAAAAGTTTATTTTCCTGAAAATGCTCTGGGATTATCCAGTTTGGTGACACATAGCCACCTTAGGTAGCTCTAGTGCAATGCTCTGGCCCTGTTGGGTAGGGAATTTACCGTATTTTTCTTAGAGGATTGCACTTTTAGCTCATGACTCTGAGCAGTGAGATGGCAGCATTGGGAATTCCCCTTCCCCTTCTCCCCTCTGCAAAAGAAGATCCTAAATTCACCAACTGGAAATATTTTAATCTCAAAAGCTCTCAAATGAGTAAATTTACTGTTCAACAAAGGCACCTCCCTGCATGATGAAGAAACTGATTCCAAGTTTAATTCTGTATTCCTGGCATGCCATAACTGAACAGATTATACAAAATTTCTATTCACTGACTAAGGTACACAATTCATTGACCAATCCACTGATCAGCTGTGACTGGAAAGTGTCACCTACTTTAGACTAAAGGATATTAATAGAAACTTTCTCTCATCCTCATCTCAAACCTGTTAAGCACATAATTATTTATTAAAATCCCCCTGGTAATGTGATAAACATTACAGCTGAACAACTCAATGACTCTTAAAACCGTAGCAAATTACTTGCTGATCTTTACCATATTAGGGGTCTATACTGAGTAAATTAAGCATTTCTTCTTCAGTGACTCATATGGAGTGGCTAAGTACACAGGTGTGGTATGGATTACTCCTCCTTGGATGTTTTCAATAACTATTTAGTGGACATCTTCAAATATCAGTATTTTTTAAAAAATGAACATTTTTCTACTTCTATAGATGACAAAACTGTCACTTTTTCAAACTCTAGCCTGAAGGCACTCAGCTCTACTGAGAGTCTCAGCTTGAAATTGTTTTATTTAGCAATTTATTTGAAATGAAACTGTGTCTACTCCAAAAAGTAAGGAAAATTCTATTGCAACCATCCATCCCTAAGGTCTTCAGCTCCCAAAGGCTGAGATAGAATCCATGTTACAAATGAGCACTCACTTAAATTTCTGAAAAACTGTAAAAAGAGACTTTCAAAGTTTGAGGTTTTGAAAACATAAACTATCATGTACATGCTCAATTACCTAAATAAGTGACCTGGATTAGAATTAAAGTCTGTATTAGAATGAACAGGATTTGCTTTCTTTAAAAATTAGGTCACTATTTGATGTATAGAAGCACCTAATTTTGTTATAACTTTTAATGATTTTTTTTCTAATACATTACTACTTACTATCTTCATATTTTGCTGTCAGTAATTACAGTATATAATTTATTAATAAGTCCTCAAGACACAGGCAAATAAACAAGGTATTTTATAATATAGTTCATATTAGAACCATATTAGTTTTCATACTAATTTTCCACATGGTGTATATCTGAAATAAGAGCTCTAAACTAGGTTTATCTTTGGGTCTGAATCTGAGCATAACCATTGCACTATCATCAATAAAGTGTACTCTGCTTCACTGAGATTTTTGTCACTGTAAATAATTATACTTGCTGGAGCAAACAGAGTATGTAAATGGCAAGGTAGATTTTGATGAGTTTTGGGTTTTGTTTTTCTTTTTACTTTTCTCTTTAGATCGACTCCAAAATCTGACTTTGTTAAACTTTTTGATAAACTTTCGAAAAGGTAACAACACATTCACTCCAATATCAGCAGTTCTAATACACGAAGTACATGACACATACTTATGTTTTAAACACTGGGACGATAAGACATGCTGCATGTTCATTCATATACCACATAAATTCCAAAAGAAATAGGAAAGATTTCTACACTGACCATAGTCTGTGTTTTCCGGCTCCCAACAATTTGATGGCCAAAAGTAGGGTGTCTATAGACAAAAAAAAAAAAAAAAAAAAAAAAAAAAAAAAAAAAAAAAAAAAAA